CCAGTATACAATAATCGCGGAATTATCAGCAATTTAAAAGTTTTTTAAGTGCGGAAAGCCAAATTCTTGTTTAGCATAGCAGCCATACTTGTTTACATTTGAAACTTAGCAGAATAGTGGATTTATTGCCAATCTAGAGAAACTAAGTTTCGCAACAACAAAGTAACGTCTTCTTTGATTATTTCGAATTAAATTAAGCCTAATTCATTCTGGAATTATCATTTAAATTATTAGCTTGTTTTTGCGTAGAAACTGTAATTTTAATTGTAAAAATTGTTTTTTAATTGTTTTAACTGTACTTGATGTTTTATGTGTTTCTCTATCTTTCAGTTTTTAATGAAAATATTTTGAAATTTTATGTATTTTAGCCTTTCCGTAAAGTGAAATCTGAATTAATTAGTAGCGCACGCGCATTAGGTAAGCGGCGCTGAATCGTCTGTAAAAAACTGTTTCTTTTTTATTTGTTTAATTTCTTTTATACGTGGTTTTAGATTTATTATAGTATTTGAATAGAAGGTATGATAATTCTTTAGATATAATTTTTGTGCATCCTGAGTTATAAAATGAGTGATATGTAACGCTGTTAGGTTAACCTAGCGCCATAGTGTCGCTATGGTAAATAAATATAGTGAACTTTAAAGAATACATTTATTCTATTGTAATTTATGCGCTATCGACGAAGTAGATTTAATTTAGAATTCGTTAACTGTTACTTCATCATATTTAAAAGAAATACAGGAAAAAAGCATATAATTTAATATTCCTTACAAGAAAGTATGTGGTTTACACATCAGATTTTTTTTGATCGGATTATCTTTCTTTGCGCTGTGGATTACGTTCTATTTAACGTTTTAGTAGTTTGAAGGATAAGTACTGATTACCACTACGTGATATCTTGAACACTTATTGGAATATCTCTGAGGAAAATTCCAACACTTTGATATATTTCTTTTAATAACAATAAATTTTATTAGCATTTCATTTATGCTTTCTATTACGAACTCGTACGCATGCAACAATATCTTTCATGTAATGGATGTCAGCTAAGTCTAATCAAAACAGGATATCAATCCTTTATAATACACTGATTTAATAAGAGGAATCACTTACAGTTCTTCGAAACTAAACTTGCTTTAACATTCTGCCCTCATCTTCTATTACATGCCATACCGTTATTCCTCTTAACAATGTTTCTTTAAATATTTTTCTAGGAAACATAAAGGCAAAGTTAGAGAAAGTTGCATCATAATATTTAACACGATTTTTAAAATTAGAAATCAGATATAAAATAAGATCTATGATTTATGATGAGCTTCCGCCCATTTCTAGATGGACTCAATTTCTAACAAATTTTAAGGCAATTTTTGCAGCGAATTTCCTGATCTTTTCAACATTTTGGAGCCGTCTTTTTAGTAAAGCATTTAAAGCCTAGGTCCAGTGAGGAGCTGATTTTAGGGCTTTCAATTTTCGAGAAGTTTGGCAAGTAGAAATATCCGGTCTCTCGATTAAAATTCTGTTCAATGATTTCCATGATCTGTTTGGTTTACTGATTACTATATGCTTGTACTCTTTGGATTGCTTTAAAATTCGAAAAATTTTTGTTCTTATATTTCACTATTTTTGGATTATTCAAACACAAACAATCTACTACTTTTCCACCACAACTATGAAACCGTACTTATTTCGTTCTTAATAACTTTCGTTTACATTAATATACGATTCTACAATTAAATGAAATTTTTACTGTTTTAAGGAAATGAAACGCTCTTATCACGGCTGCTTAAAACAATTATGCATTTATCTTTATTGAAATGCGTAATTGTTTGACGTGGTTCTTACTCGGTGTAATTGTCTCGTGTGGTTAGCATTTTATATATAATTCATGAATTCAGAACTGAATTTTAGGTCCATTAATCTCATTTTCAATTAGGAAGTTTTCCCTTTTAAACTACAATCGCACTTTGTTTTAAAATTTGAAAACTAACTTATTATTTGCATAATATTTCCGTAAATTTATGTAAATACTTTTTTGATTTGTTTTCTTTAATCGTGTGTATTTTTTTTAATTAGTCCAAAGGGGCTTTATCCCTGAAGGACTATGGTTTTCGCTTTGCGATTTTGCGTTGAATCATTATAAATGTCCGTTTCACTTTTCAAACTGTTGCCACCAAATGTTAGAGCCCTGCATTATGTTTGAAGAAATTAAATAATGAAAAATCTGCATAAATGTATGTATATTTCTCGCATTGTGATAAAACAAAGGTACATAGAGCCATCGAATTTTGAATGACATTATCCTCCTACGAATATGGGCATGTGGAAGATCAAATTTGAAATTTGGAATTTGTTTCATGATCGATTTTATATTTTGTAAAACTTTAACGAATTTTTGAGTAACAAACTCAACGATTTAAAAGCGAGCGATGGCAACACTCTACGGGGGAAAAAAGAAAACCTTTTTATCTCCAGCGCGCGGAACTGTGTATCGGAAATTCTAAAGATAGGCTCATTTTAAAATTATTTTGCGACATTGCTATTAAACTGAATTTTATGGTTTAAGTGCAAAGAACATGTGCAAGAACATATTTAATAAATAAAGGTAACACAAAAAATGTTAAAGAAACTCCCCTTTGGATGTAATTTAAAATCTGAAAACTTTCAGTTTTTTATTTATTTATTTATTTATTATTTTATTTTATTTTTTCCTCTACTCGCCAAATTTATATCTATTGTAATGAAAGTGATAAATGTAACGCAAGTGATAATTACGTCATTTAAACGGTAACATAAATTATGACACTTTGAGAATGAAAATTAAACACAGACACACACACACACACACACAAAAAAAAAAAAAAAAAAAAAAACAGTGCGACATATACCAAGTATCTAATATACTGCTGGCCATTAAAACTATTATAACAGGAAAGAAAGTAAATAAGAGAATCAGTATAATAGGAAGAAATGACGATAAAATTTCCAGGTGGTATATGCTAAAATACCTTGCAGAATGCTCTACACAGAGCTGCCTTCTCCGACTCTCGAATTGAGCTTAGATGATAAATGCGAATACTTCATTCCATACGGCTTCATCTCGATTGCCAGAGTTGATAAATCGCAATAGCTGGCAAGTGATGGCATGCCATTTTCTCGGTAACCTATGACCAGATGGTCTCAATGAGTGAAAGATCCGGTGATCATGTTGGTCAAACCAAATATCCGGTGTCACGGCAATATTCGAAACCCCTCTGTATAGAGGAATATCAGGACAGCAGGGCAACTTGCAATCATGTTGCCCTGACGTCATCTTGTTGAAAGAAGACGTCACGTAGGCCTCGAAGATAGGGCGTAAAACTTTAGAAAACTTTAATCAGACGTAACACTTTAGAGTACTTACATATTATTCCGTGAATCATGAAATCGGGCTACCATTGAATTATGAAAGCTGAAGGAAATCCCTCCAGAGTTGCGCCAGTCACTCGTGCGGAATTCTGTCTGCAAATGTCTGGACTTCTATCTGCATTTCTTAGGATTAAACATCGTCTGTCTGTTTGCTCGATCCACCAAATATCCGCTGCTGCGAAAATATTCAACACTCTTCCTTTTTGCTCTTCGTAAAAAAGATTTTTGTCGATTTCTCTCATTTTTATACACCTTTCAATTCTAACGAAAGCTGTGTTTACAACGCTATGAGTACAAACTTCCAATCTATTCCTGTTTTGTCGGCGATATCCAGCTGTTTTTTAATCCCTCTCAAATGATCTAAATTTTCGATCAGCTTTAAATGAACTAGAGTGATGTCACAAATGTGATTCTACATCCCTCGAACTTACTTTTTTCAATGTGCAAGGAAAAATACAGCAATAACAGTTCATTTAAATCCCTTTCATAAAAACGTAAGGTGACTTATCAACAATCAGTCGGGATTACATCAAACGAAAGCGCAGCTGTGCGAGGGTATTGTGACGTCACGCTTTTTTATAATTGCCTATAAGTTGCATTGTTTGGCGATAGTTTCACGGTCCAGAAAATAACATGCAAGTACCAAAGCGCGTCTTCGCGGGATCTCCAGGTTCGAGTACCGGCGAAAGCACTACACATTTTTCATGTCTCCTGCTTCAAAATAACCTAATGTCTCTACAGTCGTTATAGTTGACCATTTTAAAAGCAATGTGCGTACTTCTTAATAATTTTCTGAAGTAAATTTTATTTATTTGTTTACTTATTTGGTTTTTAACTCTTCCAAAAATAACATTATATTTCTTAACTGTGAAGATATGAGCTATTTAGAAACAATAGATTTCAAATAAATTACACAAGTATTCTTAAAAAAATAAATGTAAATATTGTGTATAGTGTTACACAGCGTATGTAATAGGAAAATTATACGAACATTTGCTTTGTTAACCTAATTAATCAAAGACACATCTGATTCTGCACATTAGATAATACACTGAAGTTAAATTCCTTCCATATTGAGATGCTTCTCTAGCTCTTTGTAATGGTTCTTAAATAAAATGATAATTTTCAACAACCTTAATGCAATTCAAAGTTGAAAATTTACAAACTCGAAAATATTGAAGTTTACAAAGTTTCATATTATACTTTAACCTTTAAAAAAATGAATGCTAAAAGAACTGGTTAAAAGTCCATAGAATATGACCATCTGTAGCCAAACTGTTTCGACACATAGTTTAACTTTTCTTCACTCGTGAACTTGCGATTTATTCAACTAAGTTTTACATGAAGCAGATTACATTTGCTTCATGTAAAACTTAGTTGAATTTAATAAAAGAATATCTATTCTAAAAACAGTCAAAAAGTAAAATATTTCCTCCCCCCAAAATATATATATAATATAATCCTGAAAGAGTATTATTAAAATACTTGAAAGTTATCGTTTAGAATATAGAAAACCATATCTGAAAATTTATTTTAAATTTCTTCTAGCAAGATGGCAGCAGCTATATATTGTTTCAAACGTTATGGAATACATCTGTGTTGATCCAGATAATAACCAGTAATAATTTTAAAATGTAGAGGAACAATGTCAGTTATGTTTGCACTCCAATTTTGTTTTTTGCTTTCTCCGCTGCTTAAGGATCCCTTGATGATGGTAGATGCTGTCCCATTGCAAGGTAAGATCTCTGTCTTTCTATTGGTTTTATTTAATTAAAATAGCAATAATAAATACATTTCCCTGAGCGTTTAAAAGAATTTTAAGAACTATGAACTTAGCTTTAAATGTCGTCTTGTTTTCATTGCATAAATTAATGAATAATTTTCATAATAATTTATTCATAAAAGATTTCTAATAATTCTGGTAAAATTTTCAATTGTGTGCATAATGGGAATTAAGCATTTAGTTGGCATAAATCTTCATATTCAATGTGAGATTTTTTTTACATAATTACACATTCTATCTAGTATCTAAACATGTTTGGATTTAAAAGCTGCTTTTTAGTACATAATATATTTGAAATATTTAAATATTGAACTAAATATCAGAGAAAGTCTTTTGTATTGATATATTTTGTATATGTTACCGTGAAAGACCGAAATTGGAGAATGTCGACTTTCACCGGAGAATATCAACATTCACCAAATACGTCGGTGAAAGATCGAATATTGTACTACATTCTTGTATATTCGGACCCTCACCGGTGTTTGTCGACAACCACAGATATGCTCTGGTGAAAGTCGAAAAGAGAGGTCATAAAGTGCCATAATAGTTTAAGTTGTTGCAATAAATAAGATTTGAATCACATAATTTAGTAAGTTTTTTATTACCGTTATTTTATTTTCTCATTTAGAACGTACTGTATAATTAAGTAAGTTTTTAACTTCTATAATTTTCCTTTCTCATTTTGAATGTATTGTGTGTCTTGGTTCTCATGTTCTTAAGTTCTTATTTCAAGTCTCAAATACGTTTATTCGCGACTGAATTACGGAGAAGAAAATATAATATTGTTATATGTTCCACATTCACCATTAGTACATAGTGAATGTCGACATTGACCGGTGTAAGTCAGAAATAAGAGTATTTGGAAAATATTTCGGACATACACCAAAAGACTATGTTAATGGTGACATTCACCGGTGAAAGTCGACATTCTCCAGATTTTAGTGTTTCACCGTAACATATATACAATTTGATGCAGAAAAAACCCTGATGCAATATTGAGAATAAATATTTAGAAGCATTTAAAGTAATTCAAATACGAAACTGTATATGAGACTTAGCACTGTATCAGTATTAGGTAGTATAGCATAGTACCTAAAACATTTAAAGTATTTAAACATAACCATTTAAAGTATCGAAAACATGCTAAGTATTTTAAACTCGCTATCTGTGAGCAATACTGACTCTGTTAAGTGAATATGTATTACAATATAACTTAAAGTTCTAACGTCAGGACACCCGTGTCGGGTGAAAGAAAGACAGATTGTCTTTTAAATTATTTATTTGATAAACTAAAATAGATTTCTTGATTAAACATAAAAATAAACTGATCATTACAGCCCTAAATCATATAATATCCGCTAACGCAGATTGGACGCAAAAAACGTCCTTTTTACTGTAGTTACAGCATAAAAAAACTATTGTTCTACAGAAATCACTGGCGTGGTTTAGAACGCAAAAGATGCGTCCTGTCACCTCAAAATCACATGAAGAACTCTTACACAAAGATTTCACTCGTTTTGTTATCTGCGAAGAGAAACATAATTAGTTCCTTGTGTCCGGAAACTCCCAGGGGGTTTTATCTGCAGTCCTGCTTTTTGCAGGTATGGTCCATTTCGTCTGCGAACAAAACAGGAAGTTATAATTCAGCACCTTTGCCCGCGGGGGTGGTGCTAGTAGCTGTAACGTCACAAAGTACATATATAATACTTCCAGTACTCTTCTGTTATCGGAACAGGATTCAGAATCGTATGCATGTATATATTAGATGAATGTCCGTATATGTGTGTATATATACACATACATACACACGTACGTACATATATACATGCATACATGTACACATACATTCATACATACACGTACATGCAAACATTTCTGAATACGGTCCCGATAACAGAGCAGTACCTACTTTCCTTTTCACAAAGGTAAGTGATACACCGCGATTTCGGATATTACACTGGTGTACTTGAAACGGCATATAAGCGATACTATCCTAGAATAAAACTCTTTGGAAAAAAAAAAAAAAAAAAGATACATTATGGTAAAAAGATTCTAAGACTAACAGCAGTTGAGATAATACATAGGATGTAAACCAACAGGCTTTGAAAACTATAAATACACTCATTTACAAAATTAAGAGAATTTGCAAATAAATCTACTTTTACACAAGTATTGAAACAAAGACTACTCTTCTGTTATTGGGATCGGATTCAGAAATGCATATATATATGTTTAGATGTATGTTTAGATGTTGGTGCTTATGTACACATGTATATATGTAAGTATGTGCATGTAACACACACATATACATACATACGGATACATTTCTGAATCCAGTCCCGGTAACAGAAGAGTATAATTATGCCGCAGAAGAATTTTGAAAATATTCGTTTGAGTTGACCAAAGACGTTTGAGTTGAACACACAAGCTTATATGTGCATGTCTGCGGAGCTGTGATTTTGAGGGGGATGTAGGCGCACGAGGACGTTTCCACGATTTGTATGCTCATATGCCTTCACGACATTGGCCGTGTTTCTCGCCAGATTTTGGTAAATTTTATAAGATATCAGAGAAAATGAATAGCCACGAGCCTACGGATGACGACATGAGATGAAGAATTGTCGGTAGATTGGATGCAGGCAAACACAAGCGCAGGGTAGTTATAAAGCTCAGTGTAACGCCTAGTGCAGTTTTCACAATGTAACGTCTGTGATTTGTGGAAACAACTTCAGGAATGGAATTGGAGGCTGCCTTCAGCCCACCTAGACACGAGTGTCCTCATAGCTCAAAAGAAGGGGCCCCGTATCTCCACAAACGAGGGCAGCCAGTAACCCAGCCACCCCCAAACAACAAACAAAAATACTAAATCAAAACTAAATAAGCACATCTAACACAAAATTACAGACTAATAAACAAACAAACAAAAATCCATAAACACAAATTCACAACATAGAACACCACAGATATCCAAAACCCACACAAAATTCAATTTTAACAGAAGATTCCTACTAGCGCCCTATTTTCATTCATAAACTTCATTAGAGCAACAGAATATGATTTAAAAACTTTAAAATTAATGACACTTACATTAAAATCAGTAATGTTAAAAATCTGTCTAATATGGGCTGTTAAACTACAATCAACCAAGAAATGCCTAGCATCACCATCAACCTGACAACTATTACATAATTTATTTTCCTGCAGATTAAATCGGTCGAAATAAAACCGAAACCTACCATGTCCAGTTAAAACCTGATTAACATCAATATTGTTCATACATTTCATTTTATTTGTGATTTTAATTAGTTCCATAAATCCTTTGTTTTTAGGTGAAGAGAACCACTGTACTTTTCCATGTGTTAACGTAAAATTCTTTTCATTTCTTCGAATAGCAATTCTCTTCGAACCTGTTACTTCAATATCCATTGCATACTGAACATTTAAGACCGCCTGCTTGGCCAGGCTGTCGGCCCTCTCATTACCAATAACGCCTGTATGGGCTTTAACTCAATGTAGCTTAATATTGAAATATGAACTCAAAGCTTCTAAATGACTCTTTAATTTCGACAATTAATAGACTGAAATTGTCTGTGCGGGAGAGCGCATGGAGAAGTGACAGGCAGTCAGTGTTAAATATTTACAGACGTGGGTATAAACAAGGTACTTTTAATCCATAATAAGGCTTGTCTGAACGCTTCACTTTCTGCCTGGAAAACTGAATTATATATGTTCAACTTAAACGTTCTATAATCCACTCAGTTCCATAGTAAAAAACAACAAAGGCAGCTGCTACCCCAGAACCGACCCCAGAACCATCTGTATAAATATCAAACACATCAACAGTTGGATTCCATTTATCAAAAACAAAACCAATTCTATTGGAAGGATGTATTAAATGAATATTAAATTTTTCCAAAACATTCTTTGTAATTAAATAATCTTCATACATTTTCAATTCCATTCGTCCAGTTCTAAATAAAAATTTCTCATAATAAAATTCGTATAAAATTGAGAGAGGAGGCAGCCCAGCCAACACAAAGACGGCCTCGGTAGACACCCTTCGAAAACATCGGGTTAAAGCTAAACCCCAAGCTCTCTGAATACTGTGTAACTTCATCCGTAATCTAACCAGTTCCCCCCGCCCTGGATCCCCCGGCTCCAATTCCATACATGATGATTGGAAGCACTACATTTAAGTAAATCTTCTTCAGAATGGAGGATTTCAAGGCTAAAATCTCAGCTGAAAAGGTTCTTCTATAATTTAATAAAATCAGATCAGTTCGTCTTTGTACCAACTTAAAATATTCTATAAAATTTAATTTGTTATCAATCATAACGCCAAGATATTTCATATTATCTACAAATTTGATTCTTTTGCTTGATATTTCAAATTTGGTGGTCTAGTCTTTTTAACTCCTCTACAACTTCAGAATATTTAATTTATATAGAGGAACTCATCTGGACAAGGTCAACCCAAGATAGCGACGACTGAGCACAGTTATTTGGCACTTTGAGCGGAGCGACACAGGACGGCTATAGCTTAACAGATCTCACGTGAGCTGTACGCTGCCACTGGAATCTGAGTTTTACAATCTGCAGTTTCCCAAAGGCTTCATGAGACAGGGCTGTATGCCAGAAGACTCGCTGCTTGTGTCCCGCTCACTGCAGCGCACAAGACAGCGCGATTTGTATAGTCCAGACAACATGCGCCTTGGACCATATTTAGTGGAACACCGCGATTTTTACAGACGAGTCGGGATTCAGCCTAGCCATTGATTCTTGGCTTGCTTGTATCTAAAGAGCCAGACACATGACACCATTCCTCCCTCATCATGGAAAAGAATCATTACGGTGGTGGAGCTATAATGATTTCGGCAGGCATTACATTGAACGGCCGCACACCTCTACACGTGTTTGACAAAGGCTCTCTGACTGGCATGAGGCGCAGAGGGA